CTGGTTAAAAAATGCCTATCCAAACGCATGTTCCATATAAGCGTTTGTTAAAGAGCTCGTGCGGTATTCAAGGTTTTGTTTTGTCAGAATGTGTGCAGGAAATGTCCTTCCGATAAAAGCACTTAGCGAATTCTGTGGAATGGAGGTCGAGAGAGAATGAAGAAGAAACAGGCTTGGCGCTGGAACTATTCTCTGCTGGCAGCTCACGTGAAGGCAGCGATGTCAGTGTCGTTAGTATTGCTTTTGTTAGTAGAGATGAAGTGTCAGCACGTTAACGGCAGTGTTGTTAGAAAGATCAGCAGGAGGTGTCGGTACTGTCATTTTCTCAAAGGAGGAAATGCAACAGTTGCAATTGTCTTGCAACTTGTATATGCGAATACGAAATGATACATGGCTAATGTAGTTACAAAATGTCAAAATTATCCATACAGATAAGAATGGTTCCGAATGAAATAAATGTGTATTCGTGTATTCAAAAGAAAAGAAATGTTTCTCATTCAATTTGCATGTTCTGTAGGGGTTGAGCTATGCTACTGCTGTCATTGTAGCCACTGCTGGCAGCGCTGTATTGTTGTCTGGACTAAGGTCTTGGCCATGATGCGTTGAGGGGCGGATGTCCGTAGTGGTTGAGCAAAGGGGGGGGGGGGAGGGGGGGGAAGGGGAAGGAGGGAAAGGGGTAGGTGTGTGTATGTGTGTGGAGGTTGTGGATTCTGGTGGTGAGGTTTATTGGCGGCGAGTGTGGTAGTGAAGCCTAGTGAGTGGTTCTGAATATAGTATTTTTATGTTGCAGTTTGACCGGAGGAAATGACGGAAAGACGGGGAAAACACATTATTATTTTTACGTTACGGTAGAGAATCGGTACGATGCGATGAGAGAGAGAAAATATAATAAAGGGAAGGATGGAGAGAGAAAGATAATAAAGAGAATAATGTAGAGAAATAAGTTTGAAGAGAAAGCCAAAGAGAAGGAAAATGAATAGAAAAGAAGAGAAAGATGCGGAATACAAGACAGAACAACCAAAACAAGGGGATGGAGTACCAGTCAAATGAAAATGAAATCGAAACTGGAAAGGGTCCGAATCGAGTCCACTATCCACAGTGACATCTATCCACGATGATTACCTCGTCCCTTGCTCGCCCCGCCTTCCCCGGGAACCGAAAACCGCAGGGCGTAGCCATTGGCCGAGAGGGAAGGGGAATCCGACCTCCTCCGCCTCAGAGGACGCAGCTGGACCGCCTTTGACGCAGCTGGACGTAAGGCGGTGTGAGGGGGTTGAGTTTTAGTCTTTTTTTCGTTTTTTTCAGATAAGATGATTATTATTTTTGGATATTTTTTTTAAAGGTGGGTTGGTGGGGTGATTATTATTTTTAGATGATTTTAAGGCGGCGATGGTGGTTATTATGGCGATAGTAAAATGGTCTTTGGGTAATGGTGGTGAAATATTGGGGGTAATTACGATGGTGAAGTAATAATGGCTGTGATCTTGCTGCACTTGCCGCAATTGCATAGGCAATTGACGGTGGTTGCAGAGATGAAATTATCTTGCGATGGTAATTATGAAGAATAATGATATGGTGGTGATTAAGGAACCTGTTATTTTGAATGGGATGAAGGATATGTTGAGATGCAAATAATTGTAATAATGAAGATGAAGAATTGGAGATGGCTGTGGTGGTGATCAGTATGATGATAATTATGGTAAAAAGCAATAGTACTACTGCTGCTGTTACGAAGAAATGATAATGGAATATTGATAATTATGATACTATAAAAAATAACAGCACTATTAATGACGATATTAGTGATAATGGCAATGATAATACTGATGATCATTTAAAAATTATGATGACGATAGTAATGATAATAGGGTAATAAAAACAATAACAACAATGATATTGATAATGATAACGATCAGCTGATTGTGGATGACGGGACGCCTCCGTAGGTTTCGAGCTGACGTTAATCTCCTCCTGACTCCTGAGACGCAGATTTTTAAATGTCTTGTAACTGTAACTGTTCTCGTTTTTTTTCTCCGAATTGACTGCAAGATGACGAAAGCAGAGGGTGACGTCACGCGGAAGTCGGCTTCGATGTTCAGGCGATAGGAAGAGGGAGAAAGAGTGGGAAGGAGAGAGGGAGAGGAGAGGGGAGGAAGGGAAAGGGAAAAGGAAAAAGAAGGACAGGGAGAAGGAGGCTAGGCAGGCGGGCACAAATACAGGCACACAGCTAATCATGGAATAGATCGGTAGAAAAAAATACGTAGGAAAAAATAGATGCAGAGAGGGTAAGAGAGAAAATGAAAAGTAACAGATATGAGGCAAGAAGAATCATGGCCGCTTAGTGAGGCGTTACAATATATATATTTTATTTCTCAACGAGGATGGCGTTTCGCTCGTCACTCTTCCTCTTTTCCTTCGTCATTATGTAACTGAGTTATTATTAATAGTGTTTCCCTTCCCGTTTTGATAATTAGATAAGAGGAGGCTAGAAAATAATTTAAAGAATAGTAAGGGCTGGTTTATCCAAAAAAAAAAATCGCCATGGCCAACCGCTCCCGCTCTTAAGGTTGTTCCGAAGACGCCAGAAGAAAGCAGGTAGAAACCAGATCTTTGCACCTGAGGCCACTTGGATGCAGGCGCGCACGAACGCACAAACACGCGTACAGCTCAGCGCGCAGACGTACAGACACGTGAACGTATCTTTTCGCTGGCGCACAGAGGAGTTCGTACATAAATAAAACAGGAGTAGACGTTTTTATGTAAGTTTCTGTTCCGCTTATTTTTTGTACGTGTTTGTGTGTGTACGAACCCCGTCGTGTATATGCGGTGTGTGCGAACGCGTGTTTGTACGTGCGTACGTCTGTGTGTGCATATCAAGGGCTAAACGACCGCTTGCGTCCCACGACGTGTCCGCGGCAAGGTAACGAGAGTGAGGAGAGCGCCGCGGCCACTTTCGCTCCCGCCGCCCAGGAGAAGGTGGGCGCTCGCCGCTGTCCCCGCGCGCCTTGGTCACCTGGGGGGGGGGGGAGGGGAGGGGAAGGGAGAGGAGGAAGGAAGGAAGGAGGGGAGGGAGGAGGGAAGGAGGGGGAGAAGAAGGGGAGGGAGGGAAGGAAGGAGAGGAGGAAGGAAGGAGGGGAGGAAGGGGTAGGGGTAGAAGATGGAAGGAGGGGAGGGAGGGAGAGGCGAGAGTTAGAAGGGGGGAGACGAGAGAGGCAAGAAAGGGAAATAGGGCAGCAATGGAGAGAGATGGATACAGAATAAGAAAAAAGGAAACCAGAAGAAAGAAAGAGACCGATAGATACCCATTTCTTTTCTCTCCTTTTTCCTCCTCTTTTATGCCTCTTTCTCGTTCCTCCTCCGGGCCAGATGAAGGTCGAGGCTGCCAAGTATGCCGTCGCCAAACGCCCTTGTCCGTGCATTCATTCCCCGACGTAATGCCTGCAATATTAAAAAGAGAAATGCAACGATTTTCTTTTTATCGCCCCTGTCATTGCTTTTTTTTCCTGTCGTTATTGCATGCGGTGACATTATTCGTGTGTGTGTGTGTTTGTGTGTGTGCGCTGTGTGTGTGTGTGTGTGTGTGTGCGTGTGTGTGGTGGTGTGTGTGTGTTGTGTGTGTGTGTGTGTGTGTGTGTGTGTGTGTGTGTGTGTGTGTGTGTGTGTGCGTGTGTTGTGTGTGTGTGTGTGTTGTGTGTGTGTGTGTGTGTGTGTGTGTGTGTGTGTGTGTGTGTGTGTGTGTGTGTGTTTTCGATTCACTCACTCTTTTACCGTTTAGATTTTGGCATCAGTATGGGTGATATTTTCGATTTTTTTTTTTTTTTTACTCATTTGCCCGTGCCCTTGGTGAAGGAAGAAGGCACAGGGGGCGGTGCACATGCCTGGGTGTATCTTTGGGATTTTGCGTGTGGGTTTGTTCGTATGGCTGTGCATATATTTGGTGTTTGTATCTTTGGTGGTAAGGTTGAAGATCTGTTTGTTTGTGTGCGTATAGTGTGCTTTTGTGTTTTTTCTGTTCTCTTTTTTAGTGTGCAGTTTGTTACGTGTGTAAAATCGTATGTTTCTTTTGTGCGGTTTCGTGTTTGACAGTGCGTGCATGTGGGTGTTTGTACGCCTATCTACTCATCCCTGGGTTTTGTTTTCAGTCGGACTATATGTCTGTCTGTCTGTTTCACTGTCGAGTCCCGATGTAGCTATTCCATACATTCATCCATCCATCTTTCCAACCATTCATCCATCCTTCCATCCTCCAATCCCTTCATCCATCCATCCTTCCATCCACCCATCCCTTCATCCATCCTTCTATCGATCCATCCATCCTTCCATCCACCCATCCCTTCATCCATCCTTCTATCGATCCATCCATCCTTCCATCCACCCACCCCTTCATCCATCCATCCATTCATTTCCATCCTTCCATCCACCCATCCCTTCATCCATCCTTCTATTCGATCCATCCATCCTTTCCATCCACCATCCTTCATCCATCATCCTTCCATCATTCCATCCATCCTTCATCCATCCTTTCATCCATCCATCCTTCCATTTCATTCATCCATCCTTCCATCCACCCATCCCTTCATCCATCCATCCCATCATCCATCCTTCATCCATCCCCATCATCCACATCCCTTCCATCCATCCTTCCATTCACCCATCCCTTCATCCATCCTTCCATCCACCCATCCCTTCATCCATCCATCCACACATCATCCATCCTTCCATTCTATCTATCCTTCCATCTATCTATCCTTCCACATCTATCTATCTCTATCTATCTATCTATCTATCTATCTATCTATCATCTATCTATATCTATCTATCTCTATCTATCCGTGTAGAGGAGCTGTATCCGTGCCATTGTCTTTTTTTTCCGAGTGCCTGTCTGTCCGATCGTGGGTGTCGCTGACAGGAAGTGCCGGTCGGTCGTGAGGAACGCCCGCTGCTATGTCTATTTGTCTGTCTGTCTGGCCGCCCACCCGCCCACCCCCCGCCCATGAGTC